GGGGGGGGGGGGGTGGGGTGGCGTCGGAGAATGAGTGTGACCGCACAGCACAGCAGCACACGATCTTCTCCTGCTTTGGCCGACTTCGGACGCGTATCGAGGTGAGATCGGCATGCTCCTGGGCGTAGTGATACCATTGAGCAGAAATCGAGCTTAGGGCATCGTTCTCTAGCACTCCTGATGCTGTTTTCAAGAAACAAGCAGTGTGCTTCGAACTGCTGTCGGCGTTGTCTGGGGACCGCTTTGGTTTCTTCTGTCCGTGCCTGCAACAACAGCAGGTACAGCCGCTTTCCTTGTTGCCTCCTGCTGGTTGGCCTGTAGTGCCTCGATATCGCTCCCGTGTTGGGACGTCTTGCCTGAACACCTGTGTATTGTGCTGCTGTACTGCTGGTGTAGTGTGTAATCCAGAGACACGCGGCATCATGATGTACAATGAATCTCCGACGACCCTATACAAATGATTCTGTGTTTTCCGCCGAGCAAGTTGGGGGGGCAGTGCACTGGGCATCAGGGAATCACAACCCCAAGTCTAACCAACACTGCTGCTGCTGTGGTCTTTGACTTGGTCTTGCATGGGAGAACGTAAACTCTGCGTGATGGGGACCACGAGCTGCTGCTGCCGCTCTCTTGCACGCAAGGAACAGAACAGCACCAGTGTGCATGCTGCCGCCTTCTTCCTCTCTCGGACACGCGGTCGATGCAAGCGAGGCAGATCTTTCGGTGCCTGTCCTGCTCTGCATGCAGCGTAGAGGTTAGACACATCGTTCAGATGCGAGACTTGGGGAAGAGATCTCGACTACCTCTCCCCCCCCCCGCACGTGGATGTGTTTGTGCTGTACCGGAACAGGGTCAATGCACACATGCACACTGCTGTACAGCAGCAATGCAGCAATGCATGTACATATCTGCATATCGTGCTCTGGTTCGTTCTTGTCTGTCATCTTCAACCATTTGAATTATTGGAATTTGTATCGTTCATGTCACGCCGCATGTTGGCACAGCAGCAGAGCTACTGCTGCATGTAGATGCTGCCCTCGCTTCCTTGCAGCTGCCGGGGGGGTGAAAGAGGGGGTTACAGCATGCTGTTTGCCTACAGCTTTTGGTGAAACGTGGCAGAAATGACACAGATAATTACTGATTGCTGCTGTACCATGTTGCACAAGATCTGACTTGTTGTGTGTACCGCCCCAGCAAAACGCAAAAAATATGTACACCGCGCGAAGATAGCCCGCCATAGTCCTTGATGCACATACGATACATGTAGATTAGAACAGCATCAGCAGTGCGTGTTGTTCCTCTCATTTCAAACGTGTTTTTTTATTCAACCCTCAAAGTGTGGAGTCTATTCGCGCGACATTCTTGTTGACCCTGCCGCACACACAAGCAGAGATAAGCTTGGGGTCCGGTGTTCGGTGACTGTTTACTGACGTAATATCCGAAGACTTGTCGCAGCTTGCGCCAAACCTGTCTCTCTGTTGCTCGCCTGATCAAAGTATCTTAACACTGCGGCGGGTGGTGGTAGAACACCCGCCTATAGGTGATCACGGCCGCGTTGCGGAATGTTATCGTAAGGTTCCGGGGCGGAAATTCTCGAGTTTTCTCGAGTTTGTTGGTGTCCAGCATCATCGTAACTTCGCTGAACACGTACGAAACACCCAGAGTACTCTATTTAGTACGGTGATTACGGGGGGCGCGATCTCTTCGGAGCGTTAATTCTTGGCGCCCCCAGTACGCCCGATAGGCGCAGAATTCATATGCCTCGCTTGACATGAGGCGCTTGAGCTGTCAGGAGGTTTTGTGCTCTTCTTCTCACAGAAGAAGCTGTTTCTGCTATGTATGTCGACCCTGCACGTACGTGTGGCGTCATGGCGGCAGAATGTTTTGCGAGAAATTCAGCCCGCTCTGCAGTTTCCTTTATCTCGCCCTCTCGAAAGGCTAAAAGGCCGCGTACGACCGTCAAGTCGACTGCGGGGGTGACGGGGGCAGTGTGCGAGGAGAGGGCTAACCTGAAAACGATGGTACCGTATACGACACAAATTAACGCACCCCCTGGACCGATGTTCAAAGCTCGATTTCTCCACGACGAAGAGGATGCATATGTGAACGGAATGATACAATTTCGGAGAGCTCTGGACCAGACGGCTTCAACGCCCCGCCGTTTTCGGCGCTGCGATTCTGCCGTTCATAAATCGAGCGTTGAAAATCGGTCAAGGGGGTATGTTATCTTGTGTCGTATACGGTGCTCTCTGGTTGTCAGTAGGGGTTGTGCATGTCGTTGCTTGCTGTGACACGCGAGGCGGTGATGAGTCTGGTCTGAAGTCTCGCCGTCAAGGGCGTGCTGGTGCTTTCACATGGTGTGAACACGTGAAGATACCAGCACAAGTCGTCGAACGAGCTTGTTTCGGAAGCTGCTGGCAACCCAATGGTGCTCCAGCAGGAATCGTTGTACCATAAGGCACTGCGTAAGCATTCCTTGTACTACTCCTGTCGGCGCAGGCCTGTACGTCGCGATTCGTTTGAGGTCGGAAAACGAACGTGGCGTCAGCCGTTTTGTTGTCTACGTTCCGATGCTCTCCACACAATTTACAGGCCGTTGGCACCGTCGTGTGACGGCCGGAACGACGCACTATTAGTTAGTTGGTGAGAGGCGTCCCCTATTTCAGCGCTTGGTGGGTGATGCACGCTGTTGGACGTCACCCCATCACGAAACGACTCAAATCCGTGAGGATTCGCCCCCGCCCCCCACCCCCCCCGTCCGCGACACCCGCTCCCGCGCTACACTGCCGTCTTCTCGCCCGCCCACGCGACACACCAGCCTTCAGCACGGCGACGCGACACACTCATGGCATCATCCCTGATGGCAGCCGCTGGTCGGCGCCAGCCGTCCTCGCTCCTCCGCCGCGCCCCGTTGAAACCGTCGTCACGAACCGCAACAACAACGACCGCCGGCGCCATGTCGGCGCGAGCCTGGGGCGGGCGGCGCGAGGAAGGAGCGGGGCCCGGGGGGGGTGGGTGGTCAATGGCGGCGGCGGCGGCGGCGGCGGGGCTAGCGCTGGCGGTTGGGGCCGGCGGAGCGGGGGCCCCGCGGGAGGGGGCTAAGAATTGCGGGATCGTGGGGGTGGTGTCGTCGTCGACCGAGAAGGGGCCTGATGGCGGCGTTGTCGACTTTCTTCACGAGGTGTGGTTGGACATATATGTGTGTGTGGCTTGGGCGTTTTTTTTTTCTTGTTGCTGCTCGAACCTGTTTTACATGTGTGTAGCCGGATGACGAACCAAGAGTGCGTGGGTCTGAAGCGGCTGAACCAACGCTTTTTTTTTCTTCTTAATATGACACAATGAATCCATCTCTATCCAGAGGAAAGAGTCTAAGATTGATTTCTCTCGATCGCGGCCAATCAATGCCGTGCCACTCGAATGGCGAGCGGCACATGGCAGCCCCCGCCCCCCCCTCACCCATGCTTTTTGAGGTTGTGTTTTTGTCATGGACGCTACGCTTACCATGTCCCTTGGCATGCTCGTTTGAAGGGTCTTTCGATTCCAGACGCAACTTAAACAGTCCCCTTTTAGTTCAATTTTTTTTCTCGCTGCAGCCGTGTGTGTACCTTCCGACTGTCTTTTTTTATCGATCCGTTGTCGTTTCTCCGACGACGCTCCCAGGGCCTGTCCATCCTGAGGAATCGCGGCTACGACTCGGCCGGCGTGGCTACGGTAGACAACGACCGGGAGCTGGTGGTGTCCAAGTTCGCTTCCAAGGGCGACTCCGCGGATAGCATGGAGCTCTTGCAGACCAACTCGGCCAACCACGCCAGCCACTCGGTCGGCATCGCCCACACCCGCTGGGCGACCCATGGTAAGAGATCTCCGGGATGTTCCATGGGGTTGGTTGAGGTGCGGGGGTGAGGGGTTAGGGTTGAACCAATGAAAACGCTCGTGACACTACTGTAAATGCGGTGCGCCTGTCCTGGCTGACGAGACCCCCCCCCCCCCGCCCGGGTGCGCGCGCACAGCGAATGGCTTCCGACGGAATATCTCTCAGGCCCAAGAAACGTCAAGTTGCGCAAACCCTTCCCCCTCGTACGGCTTACGTGATCGCACACCACCGTTGTGGCTAACGCCGTTATGTAGTCCGTCACACGTGCTTCTACTACTTTTGCAGCTGCTTTTGTCCGCGGATGGACGCGTACGCGTAAGCGACAGGCAGACTCTGTTGCGGTGCCCCCTGCTGCACGTAGACCCCCCTCGCCTTCCCGCAAGGATGTTTTTTTTTTGTCATCCTTGTGAAACGTAGCCTTGGCCGACGAAATATGGCTCCGACCCGGCATCGTAGATACACGCGAGGTCCATGGTCTACCTGCTACGGCATGCGTTTACATGAGTATGAGACCTTCGTTTTCATGAGTATCAGAATCACCCTCGCCGCATTCCCCTGCGATCTTTCCAGGTGGCAAGACGGACAAGAACGCCCACCCGCACATGGACTACGACAACCGCATCGCGCTGGTCCACAACGGGACGATCAACAACGCCACGGAGCTGAGGAGAGAGCTGCAGGGCAAGGGCATATCCTTCCGCTCGGAGACAGACTCGGAGGTGAGAACGACTACGTTATCACCCCAGGAACGGCCGATGAAGAGAAGCAAGCATGTGCCAACGTGTCACACGTGCGTGTGGGTAAGGACACGCACACACTCATCGCAGAGCGTTGTGTGCTAGGACACACACACGTACCATTGCCTGCAACGAGAAATGCCCGGAAGCACAGAGTGTTGCGGCTGTGTCTGTTCCCCCCAGTCAGCCCCCGCCGTTGGAAGAGGGGTCGTTTCACGCTGCACATGTCCCAGGCTTCTGCTGCTGCTGCTGCTGCTGCTGCTGCTGCTGCTGCTGCTGCACCCACGCCTTCTCGCCCTTTATCCTCGGTGCATGTGTCAACTCTCTTCCCCTCACCTTGAAGTCGCAAAATCCTCATTCGATTCCCCCCAAGAGGTGTGTAAATTAAAAGCTCAGTGCTAGCCACCGCCGCCGCTGCTGCTGCATGGTAAGCACCATGAAATGACAAACTCTTTTCGGTCCCACTCATGCCGCCAATGTCTGTTGAAGGTGATAGCGCACCTCATCGGGCTTGAGATGTCCGCCAACCCTAACATGACCCTCAAGGAAGCCACCGGAAGAGCGCTTGCCAGGTAAAAAAAGCCGGGCTGTTTGGGGATGGGGGGTGGGTGGAGGGTTCATCGAGAGAGGGTGTCTGTGCTTGCTCTCTACGACAGAAGAGATGGTGTCTGTGCTTTCTCTCTGCGAACAAAGCTGGCGTTGCCGTTGGTGGCGGCGTTGTTGTGCCGGGTGGGTTTTGATGTTGGCAACAGAAACGTCTCGAGATACGGCGCAAATTTCTTTCGCAAACCTAGAAGATAAGAAACAGATGGACTTGATTACATCAGTGGGGATTGAGCGACAAATTAGGCCGGGGGCGGGGGGAAAAGATGCTGAACACGAGTAACTTCTTGGTTCATCAATATACGTACCTCAAAGACCGTTAAGTGGAAGTGCTGATAACCACAAGAGCAACGAACGGTTGACGGGAGTTAAGGTGGCGATGATGTTTCCTAGAATAGGTCAATGCCTCGGAGATTCGGGGGCGCGCACATTGTACCTAACCAAGAAGATGACAAATCGAGCAGATGGGCTCAATGTGTTCCTGACAAACAACCACCACCACCACCACCACAACAACAACAACAACACAACAACACGAGTTGTTGCGTTTTGTAGACGCGATGGTGATCCCTTGTATTGCCCCCCGGCTTTGTAGGGATGCGAGGTCAATGGCCTAACGACTACGGCATGCACGACTACTGAGTATCCCCCTCCCCCAATACTCTCGAGGACGCGAGGTCAATAGTCCAACCGCTATGGCATGCAAAACATGAGTACCCCCCTACCCCTACCCCCCCTCGGTGTTTGCCATCGGGATTGGGTTTTCGTCGCTTGGCAACGACGTTGTTAAACAAGCCAATTCACTTCGAGAATTCGGCAACCAGGTTACCGTTTTTTTTTTTTACCTCTTTTTTTTTGGCGGTAACCATAATGGTGGTCGAGTAGATCATGTTGTGCGGGGTGGAGAACCCTCACTCCGCGCAACGGGGGATGATCGCACCACGTTGTGTTAATATTGGTCAAGCTTCCTCGAGGCAGTTACACAGTGCTTACAACTGTCTCTGGAAGTGAAAGCACCAGAAAGTAAATTAAGTCGTACGTAGCTGTCATCCGTACGCAAGGAAGTAAGCACAAGATGCCGAACACCCTTAGCAGGATGCAGCTCACCCTTCATGCGACTCGCCGAATACCTCACGGCGCTTCGCGCTTGGTGATGTGAGAGCCTGGTCCGGGTGAGAACCCGGCGTGTTCCGTCCCGGCTTTGTAGGGATGCGAGGTCAATGGTCTAACGACTACGGCATGCACGACTATGAGTACCCCCCCCCCCCCCAACCCCA